AAACTACAAGTTCTGGATATGCTATACATGAGTTTAGGGAGGGGTTTTTTTTGGGGGGGGGTTGTTTTGTTGGGGATTTCTTGTTTTTGTTTAGTATCTGGATGTTTTTGCCTCTGTGCATGTCTGTGCACCATGTTCGTGCCTAGTTGGGGCGGGGGACGAAAGATGGCATCTGATTCCCCTGTAACTGAAGTTATAGTTATTTCCTATCTGCCATGTGGATGGTGGAAATCAAATCCGAACCCTCTGGAATAGCAACAAGTGCTCTTAAAGGCTTAGCCAAAGCTCCAGCTGCCGCCCCACCCACCCTACCCCACCCCCCGGGCGCACCCCGCAAGCTTTTTAAACCACGAATAAAAGAGGATTCCTCCAATAAAATACATTTAAAGCATATTTATGAATAAAAGAAAGACACACTCAAACTTTTCCCAGTCATAACTTTGGCTCTGTATAAATAAGACTACTAAGCTAGAAAGATGAAGGGCACCAGACTCTGGCTTCTTTTTTTCTTTTTTTTTTTCTTTTTCCTTTTTTTTTTTTTAACGATTTTCCTGCTAAGTCATTCTCTTCTGTAGTTCTCTTGAAGTCAAGGAATGGCAACACTGATCTGTAAACATCTTTATGACAAGGAACCAAGACTACTCCCAAGCAAAGAGCAAGCCTGGCAGGACAGATCACCTCAGTTACCTATGGTGGAGGCTGAAAGCTGGCACTGGAGTAACCGCCTCGCTGTAAACAGACTGCCTCAGAGTGATGACATCAATAACAGGTTCTCTAGAAGCCCTTGCAAAACCAGGCCTTTACTGGCGTAAGTGATCAGACCCATGCCTTGACCAGATCACCCGACCAGATCACAGGCTGTGTCATCTGTGCAAACCACAAGTCCTTCCCAGTCCCCTTTTCCATAAAGTCTCACAGTTCATCTCAGCCCCTGGAAGACAGACTTGGTATAAGCAAAGCCCTTTATCTCTTTTTCTCATTGTGGCCGCCTTAATAACTTCTCTGTCGTTCATCATTACTTGTCTCTTTGGCAAACTGAGCTGGGTGGCCAGACAGAAATCTACTGGGACTCCTGGAACAGGGGCTTTTTACTAAAACTTCATTAACAAGGGTACTAATGTGCACGGAAATCATGGCAATCCCAGTATAATTATGACTAATATTCCAATCACATATAAAGTAACAATAAAATTATCTTACCTAATGAAATAATTTTTCAGTCTGTGAAACAAAAGAACAACTGTAAAGAATTGAACAAAACCTGGGTGTGGTGGTACATTACCTATTATCCTAGAACTAGGGAGGTGGCAGCAGGATTACAAGCCCAAGATTGGCCTGGGCTATATCATAAATCCTCGTCTCTCTATGTCCCTCCCTCTCCCTCTCCCTCTCCCCTTCTCCTCCCCTCCCTCTCCCCTTCTCCCCCCTCTCCCTCTCCCCTTCTACCCCCCTCCCTCTCCCCTTCTCCCCCCTCTCCCTCTCCCCTTCTCCCCCCTCTCCCTTTCTCCCCCCCTCCCTCTCCCCTTTTCCCCCCTCTCCCCTCCTCCCCTCTCCCTCTCCCTCTGTGTGTGTGTGTGTGTGTGTGTGTGTGTGTGTGTGTGTGTGTGTGTATTTGCCCATGGCTGCATGGCTGGCTGGCACAATGCAGTTAGAAAATCTGTGATCAGCTTGGGTAGAGTAACTGAAATACAAAAAGCATTTAATTTAAAAGGCTGTGAGCAGTGAGCCTTTCCAACCCAACACCTTTTGTTTGTTTTTTGTTTGTTGTTTGGTGTACACAGGGTTTCTTTGTGTAGTCCTGGCTGTCCTAGAACTAGCTCTATAGACCAGGCTGGCCTTGAACTCAAGAGATTTGCCAACCCCTGCCTCTGCTACGATGAAAAAGATTTATTTATGCATACTCTATCTGCATGTACATCTGCATACAAGAAGAGAGCATCGGATCCCATGATAGATGGTCGTGAGCCACCATGTGGTTGCTGGGAATCAAACTCACGACTTCTAGAAGAGCAGCCAGAGTTCTTAACCACTGAATCATCTCTTCAGCCCTCATCCCAACACCTCTAAGTTGAAACCAAATAATATAGCAAAATACTCATTTTAAATTTCAATGGCTATGGTGTAAGCAAGTATAAGACCTGGGTTTCATCCCCAGCACCGCGTCACACACACATGAAGTGGAAACCTAAGGGTTCTTTGGAAAGTCTGTTGTGTTGGATGGCGTTTTGCTGGAGCAAACACATGAAGGAGTGTTTTCCTAAAGCAGACATGTGAAGGAACATTTCACTGAAGCAGACACAAGAGAGAGGATGTTCTGCTAAAGCAAGCACGTGAAAGGACATGTAGTAAAGGATTCCTTGCTAATGGCACACATGTATTAGTCTGCCTTACGCTGCATAGTTGAGCTCCTGTTGGGACTCCATAGAGAGAAACCACGAAGAAGCTTCTGGTGGTATACTGTGGCTTCTTGCTGCTTCTGTAGACTCAGGTCGATTGGCAGAGTGATGTCAGCTGAGACAGATTCATGTGGAGTTTTTCGAAGTCAGACTCACATGCCGAGGCCAGACCCATGGAGAACATGTGCTGTTTGGAGGGAGTATAGGACTCAACGGACAGAGACAGGTGGGGCTTGGCTTGCTGGTACAGCTAGCTCTGCAATGCTTGTTCATCTCGAAGCTTCCCTGAGAGGACACAGCCAAGAACATCTCCTGGTCCCTCCTGCTGATCTGTGCCAATTCAGCTGAAGCCTGGCTATTCCTGCTCAGTTCTGCCACCACTGCTGCTACTCCAACACTACTGACCTGAACTCCTGGTGTATCCATGAAGTGTTGGCAAGTGAAGAATTCCCATACACCAAGGGAAAGCAGCCTTCTGCCCTGGCCGTTCTTGACCCTTTCAGGTCTTTACAGATTCTTAAGATTTCAGATGAAGCATTTCACATTAATATAAAGTACTTAAAATGCATTCAAAACTAAAATAAGATACTTACGCTAGACAGAGCAACCCTACATTACACAGTGTATCACTTAGCAGTCAGTACCCTACATTACACAATGCTTCACTTAGCAGTCAGTACCCTACATTACAGTGTATCACTTAGCAGTCAGTACCCTACATTACACAGTATATCACTTAACCGTCAGTACCCTACATTACACAATGCTTCACTTAGCAGTCAGTACCCCACATTACACAATGTATCACTTAGCAGTCAATATCCTACATTAGACAGTGTATCACTTAGCAGTCAGTACCCTACATTACACAATGTATCACTTAGCAGTCAATATCCTACATTACAGTGTATCACTTAGCAGTCAGTACCCCACATTACACAGTGTATCACTTAGCAGTCAATATCCTACATTACACAGTGTATCACTTAGCAGTCAGTACCCTACATTACACAATGTATCACTTAGCAGTCAGTACCTCACATTACACAGTGTATCACTTAGCAGTCAATATCCTACATTACACAGTGTATCACTTAGCAGTCAGTCTAGGATGGAAGAATAGATTTCCCAGTCCAAAGGATCAAGACCCCACCTCCATCTAAACTCACTAGTATGTGACTGAGCCAGCTAATATCCCAAAGAATTACTTTCCTTATCCATAAGATGAGAATGAGGAACAACCACATGCCAAGAGAATTAAACGAGGTGTCCTGTATGTCTGTATATACAGTGTTACCTGCAAATAGTGGACTAGTATTTACTGTAAATACTAGACTTTATTTCAAAAATATAAAGCACATTCAACAAAACAGCATTGCCTTTCCTGGGGGAAGGGATTAGTTCATGTATGTTTATTCTGTTTTCATTGAATCTTACCTACTTATAATAAACACACGCACATGCACACACACTCAGCATCATTTAATGCAGGGAACTTCATAAAAAGGGTTATGTTTTCACATAACTATTTCCCAGAATAGTTTTACTAGCAGAGAGCAGGTATGAAAACCGAAAACCATGAGTCAGAATGTAAAACGAAGTTTAATCTAGCCCTTATTTTACATGAAGAAACTGCCTGAACAGACTCTCTAGATTCCATCAGCTAGTTAGTTTCTGCACCAATGGACACACCTACTGGCTTCAGGCCTGCAGTGGTAGCACCATGTTGGAAAAGAATTATTTCTTTTATTCTTCCAACATCTAATTTTATGGCACAGTTTTATAATTCCTGCCACTTCATTCTCTTCATCTAACAAACAGACCTGTTTTGTGAGAACACTAGTAAGTTGGCTTCATAAACGAAGTAGGAGCCAGGCGTGCAGGAGAACCTCTTATCTACCTGCCGCCCGGGGAGCGGAGGCAGGACTGCAAATTTGAAGCCAGCCTGAAGTAATCATTAGTTCAAGGCCAGCTTTAGCTACCTGGTAAAACCCGGTCTAAACCAAAACAAAACAACACAAAAGAACAGTGATGATGTCCAAGAGTGAAAAGTTAACTAACACAACGGTCGGTGAAGGAGCTCCAAAACAGTCCTTTCTACTTGGTGTCAATCCAAAAGGTATGGAAATACGTTTTGCACTATGTTCAGCGTATAGAAAATAAAATCCTTCTTCAATTTGGAAAAAAAAAAAAAACCTGAACCAGTGTTACACAAAAACATTATTTAAATTTTTATCATTGGAAAACAATTCAAAATTGTATAGACAAAAACATGTTCTTCGCTGTCTAAATGGTATATAAAACATTTTCAGCTAAAACAGACTAAACTGGGCTGGATGGCAATTTAGTTTATAAAGTACTATCAACTAATTTTATGCTACTACAAGAATTTTAATTTTTAAAGAACATCACTGGATTTACAGACACTATTTAAGTCTTGTGCTGGTCTATGAACATTATCCTATTTCTAGACATAGTCTGTCCACCGCCCAAGGACTGGGAAATCGCCTGCTAGCACAGCACCCAAGATAGTTCACACACTGAAACTCTAGTATAGCTTTGCACAACTGAATATAGAAGTACTCATGACATCAAATAAGCACATTATAGAAAGAGAACATCAGGTTTAATACCTTATAAAATATGTACAAAACTTGAGCATTCCTGTGAAATACAATTCAAGTCATAATTATAAATGTAATTGGGTACTCTGATACAATGGAAAGGTCTAGTGGGTTATCAAAAAAAAGCACGTAAACTATAAAAGATTACAAAGCACTTTAACCCCAGATTTAAAATCATCTTTCAAATGTAAATATATATTATTTACAATTCTTCAATATCACATAGTTGTTAGTTTTACATGATCTTAGGTGTTAGGAAAAATGTAAAGCCAAAAATAATCCTATTCATTTGTTAAAGTAAATATAAGAAAAACAGCGGTAGGAATGTATTGTAATACAAGAGGCAGGAATGCTGTCACTTGCAGAGTCATAAAACAGACTTAGCCAAAACTGTCTTTGTGAAGCAAGCAGTTTCAGTTTAGAGATGTCAGCGCAGGGACCCAGTTTCCTTACAGGAAAAGTGATGGTAGTGGTACACGCCTTTAACCCCTGTACCCAGCACTCAGAGGAACTTCGTGAGTTCAAGGACAACCTGGTGGTCTACAGAGTAAGTTCTAGGTCAGCCACGGCTACACAGAGAAACCCTGTCTCAAAAACCAAAAATCACCTGATTATAAATAGCAGTCACCTGAGGGCTGCTGCAAAGATTAATTAATGGTCTGCCTGGAGGAACACACTTGGGATTAAGACATACCTCACTGTCCGGCGTGTGAATGTTCCACATCACAGTTCACACCAGGACCTTTCTTTACATTTAAAACCTCAAACAACATTTCATTCTTAATACAAGAATCAATGTTGAAACTGTTAAATTCTTAATTGCCCAGTCAATTATCAAAAGCCATTTATAAACCGCTTTAATACTGGAGATATGAAACTGATGGTATTAAAGCTATAGACACTTTGCAACGGTCACAAAGTTTTAACTTCCCATATTAGAGTCCGAAGTCAGTGTGCCTCGGAGAGAAGTGCAGAGACATCAGGCAGGCAGATGCACCTCTCGCCCCTCCAGCAAGGTCTAAGTTTTCTGTCTGTCGTAGTCTCCCACCATCCTCTTGATGTGGGATAATTTGCTCTTCAACTGCTTGCAGTAATTCCTCTTACTCTTATAATCTGCAGACTAAGACAGAGAAAGTGAATCACATAAATGCAACAAACTAAACAAGACTCCAAAAGTATCACTGGATGTATCAACTACTCTCAGGACAGACTCCAGTACAAAACGCCATGGTTTTTCATTTTGTTTGGGGGCTTTTTGTTTTCTTTTTCTTTTTTGTATCTTACTGGTTTTTTGTTTGGTTCTGATTTTCCATATTTTTAAAGAATTATTTATTTATTTTATGTATATATGTACACTGTAGCTCTCTTGAGACATACCAGAAGACAGCATTGGATCCCATTAGAGATGTTTTAAGCCACCATGTGGTTGCTGGGAATTGAACTCTGGACCTCTGGTAGAGCAGTCAGTGCTCTTAACCTCTGAGCTGTCTCTCCAGCCTCTTCCTTTTTTCTAATGTTTTGTTTTAGAGAGAGAGAGAGAGAGAGAGAGAGAGAGAGCGCGAGCACACCAAGTTGGGTAGGTGGATACAGGGGTAGGGAGGATCTAGGAGAAGTTAGAGAAAGGGTTAAACATCAAAATTATATGAAAAAAATTAAATTATAAAGATAGGTCTACTGAGAAAGCTAGGATAAACAAAAAAGAAAAAAGACTGGTCATAAAGAAATAATGAGTATTAAATGAGTATGTTTAAGGTACTGAGCACTATCACTGACCACACAGGCAGATGGTTTAAGGTCCTGAGCACTATCACTGACCACACAGGTAGATAGATGGTTTAAGGTCCTGAACACTATCACTGACCACACAGGCAGATAGTTCTTTTTCTTCAATATCTTTTAAACTAATTTTTACAAAGTATATGTTCCTTTCTAAAAGGAAAGTATATGTTAAGTCACCATGAGAATTCACTGACCGTTGTGTTTATAAATTATCTTTAAAAAAAATTCAGGGGCCAGTAAGATGTCTCAGATACATGTGCTTCCTGCAGAGCTTTGTGATCTGGGTTCCATCCCCAGGATCCATATGGTGGAAAGAGAATTGACTCCTGCAAGTGTCCTTTGAACTCCACCCATGTGCCATGGCACACACGCACCTCCACCCGTACATACATATATGTAAACTGCATACATACACACAGTAAGTAAGTAGAGGGCACTGGCTCCCCTAGAGCCATTCCATGTGGATCCTGGACAACAAACTCAGGTTCTCTGCCCCTATATACACTTTTAAATTCATTTAAGGGGTTGGGGAGGTGCTCTGATGCAAAGTGCCTATTACTGAAAGCAGGAGGACTAAGTTTGCTATCTAGCGCACCCATAAGAAGCCAGGTATGGAGCCTGGTACTTTCAATTCCAGTACTGTGGGGAGGAGCACTGGGGGAGGGAGGTTCAAGGGAGAGGAGCACTGGCGGGAGGAGACAGGAGGATCCTGGGCCAGTCAATCTAACAAAAATAGTAAAGTAAGCTCCAGGTTCAACAGAAGACCCTATCTCAAAAAGTAAGGTAGGGAAATACACACACACACACGCACACACACACACGCACACGTACACGCACACGCACGCACGCCTCATTATGCTCTTTAATTACAATAACAACTTTTAGCATTAAGTCTTTTGCAAACAAAAAAAGTGTTGCAAGTCAACAGTGCCAGGTAATATCAAGTGTTAGCAAGGACAAAGCAAGATGCTCGGTACAGAAGTGAACTAGTGTAAGCTCTTGGGAAGGCTGCATGACAGAATCTTCTGAAGCCGCACACACACAGGCCCAACAATCCTACAATTTACTAACTATAGATCTCATATGTGTGCACACTGATGCTGTATTATTTGTAAAAGCCTAAAACAAAGGAATAAAATCATTGTTAACATTAAGATAGATAAGCCGGGCAGTGGTAGTGCACGCCTTTAATCCCAGCACTTGGGAGGCAGAGGCAGAGGCAGGTGGGTCTCTGAGTTCGAGTCCAGCCTGGTCTATAGAGTGAGTTCCAGGACAGCCAGGGCTATACAGAGAAACCCTGTCTCGAAAAACAACAAAACAAAACAAAAACAAAACAAACAAACAAAACAATAAGATAGATAGGCAGAGGTAGCAACACATTCCTTTAATCCCAGCACTTAGGAGGCAGAGGCAGACCGATCACTGAGTTTGAGGCCAGCACAGTCTACAAAGAGAGTTTCAGGACAGCTAGGGCTACACAGAGAAACCCTGTCTTGAAAATATTAAAAATAAAATAAAATAGATGATTAAATTCTATTGTAGTAAAATATAACACTACATAATGATAAAAATAAATGAATAACAACACACAAAAGCACAAATCTTTGTTTTTCTTTCTCCAGGCCCAAGATTTCTTTTTATTCAAGTTATTTCTTTTTTATTTTTCTTTTTTTTTTTTTTTTGGTTTTTTTTTTTTTTTTTGGTTTTTCGAGACAGGGTTTCTCTGTGTAGCCTTGGCTGTCCTGGAACTTACTCTGTAGACCAGGCTAGCCTCAAACTCTCGAACTCAGAAATCCGCCTGCCTCTGCCTCCCAAGTGCTGGGATTAAAGGCGTGCGCCACCACCGCCTAGCTTTATTCAAGTTATTTCAAGACAGCCAAGACTAATCTATAATTTCGGGAGATGGTATACGAACAGGAGAAGAATAAAATTGAGGCGCTATAAAGGTTACAAAATGTATTTCTTTTTCTGGTTGCCAGGAATACAGGTGTGAGGTCACTTTGTGAAAACTTACCAACCGCCCACAGTGACTTATACAGTTATTTACAGATAGACTTCAACTTTAAAGAAAGATTTTATGGCTGGGTATGGTAAAGCATGCATTTGGCCCCAGCACTTGGAAGACAAAGGCAGGTGGATCTCTGTGAGTTCAAGGCAAGCTTGATCTACAAAGCTGAACTGTAGACTAGTCAGGGATATCCAGTGAAACCCTGTCTCAAAAAAGGATTTAGAAAATCAGTATAAACAAATAAAATTAAAGTTCTAACTTCTCAGTTACAATGCTCATAGGTGAATGACAGGGACTTTGTCTATAGACAGTGTACATACATATGAAAGGTACAGTCATTATAAACATTAAATAAAGGATTCTCAAAATTGGATACTTACTCCCTTAACTTCCTTTAGTCTATTATATTCATCAGCAGCGGCCTAAGGATAAGAAACAAAAAGAACGAGAACGGTTACTGAGGCATTCTCTCCCTCAAGAACAGTGTTCTTTGGAGCTGGGGAGAAGGCTTGCTCTTTGAGTCTGGGGCCTTCCAAGTGCCTAAAAGGGCAAGTGTAAGCCACACACCCACTCCATACGATTCTAACAGTCAAGGCTCAGTGACACCTCCCCTAAACTGTCAAGGCCTCTGACTGCCTTAATTCCCTCAGAGAGTCCTTTCTACAGATAATGTGAACACAGTGTCAATCATACTGCCATTCAGACAAAAGGTTCCTGATTAGAATTTGAGTTCTCTGCAGATAAGGACATAAAGCTTTATCTTTCTAACCTTAGCATTTCTAGATACAAAAAGAAATGATTAATAAATGTTGAATGAATTGAAAAAGGTTTACCAAAGTATCAGGTAGAAGCTATAAAACAACAGATAAATCAAGGTACAGTAGCATCATACATTTCAATCAAGAAGCAGCTTCAACTGAGAACTGTTAAGTATTCAGTGAGTATGAAGCTCCAGTGAGCATAGGAAGTGATAGGGAAGGTTTAGTTACTAATGCCCAAGGCAGTCAAATGAGCCACCTAGCACGTTACTGGGAAAATGTAGTTGGTATTCTCCTGATGAGCAATTGAAATGTTTTAAACGCATGCCCTCTGGATCAACAGTTTCATATTCTGGCATTTATTCTAACTGCGTAAGAACACACGAATGCAAAACTGAAACGTTTGCCAGTATCTTTTTCACATTACAATATTTCTAAAGATATTCAGTAAATTGTGACGCAATGATAAAATTAAAAAGTCTACAGCTACAAACTTAAAATCCCAGCACTAGTAGGCAGAGGCTGGAGGACAAAGAGTTCAAGGTCAGCCTACACTACAGAGCTAGGCTTGAGTAACTAAAAGTAGACTTTTATTATTGATACCAAACAATAACCCCAGACCACTTCTGTGTAAAGGAGAAGGAAGTAAAGCCAAGCCACTGTGTTTAAGCAGCACTGGGGTGGGGGGTGGGGTGGGAGCTTGCCTAGCGTGTTGTCTATCTCTGCAAAAGAAGAAGAAAAAAAAGGAAGAAAAGTCAGGTGAGACATCACAGGCCTGTAATACTACCAACTATGCAAGAGGACTTCAAGTCCACCTGAGCTACAGCAACATATGAGACCTTGTCTCATGGCTTTCGAAAGGAAAGTGAGCCCACAGGATGAAGGTAACGGTACACAGAAAGCAACCAAAGGCATTCCTGTGGTCAAACTAGAACAACTTGAACCACTGTAATATGCATCATATTGGTAAACTGTCACATGCTGTTTGAGCCCACTGCAACGCTGGCTCCAGAAGCAGGGATGCCCATCCCTTCAGACTCAAGCATGTTTGTGTCAAGGGTCCTCCAAAACCCCTTCTCTGAGAATGGACTCCCCCACCTCGTACTCTATGGCAGGGAGAGAAGAGAAGAGCCCGAGTAACAAAGCTACAAAGCTGTGTCCTTGATAATTGCTACAGTTGAATCCAACAGAGGCTACCATTGTTTACCCCAGACAGAAAAGTGTCGGCAGTGAGAACCAGTTCAGCCGTGAGAAGCTCCTGAGTGAGAGAAAGCTCAGCTGGGAACGACACCTTCCTCAGTCAGTTTCTGCTGGACGTTTGCAAGCCCCTAATTTGATGATGTTACCTTCCTCCTGTTATTTCTACTCATACTTGAAAACCTGACTTAAGAGGACACTCCGCTTTGCCCTTGTCCTCCTTCAGGAACTCTAGCTGCCTTCTGTTAAAGGGACTTGCCCAGTCAATTCAATTTTTGGTGACTAGTTTAAGAGCTAGTTTAATGATGCTGTCTCTCTTCCCTTCTCTCTCTCTCTTTCTCTCTCTCTCTCTCCCTCTCTCTCTCTCTTTTTTCTTCCTTTCTTTCTTTGTGTTTGTTTGTTCTTTGTTTTTTTTTTTTTTTTTTTTTCAAAATTGGGTTTCCCTCTGTAACAGCCCTGGCTGTCATGGAACTCTCTTTGTAAACCAGGATGAGCTCCAACTCAGAGATCCCCCTGCCTCTGCCTTCCAAGTGACAGAATTAACAACATGGACTACCAAGCCCAGCTTAACTTGAATCTTAATTCCATGTATATGGACGCTTAGCCTGCAGGTGAGTCTTCACATCACTTATGCCTGCTCTTTAGGGAGAGCAGAAGGCCCTGGAACTGGGGTTACGGATGCTTTATTGGGTAGTGCCTCTTAGGAACTGAACTCCAGTCTTCTGGAAGACAAGCCAGTGCTCCTACTATTCAAAACAAGTCCTTACTGAAGACCGTGCCTGCCTGCCTACACTCCTGGCATTCACGGTAACAAACTTTTTCTGGGGTATACGGTAGACATTTAAGGAAGGACAAACCCCGCACACACCCCTTCATGTGACCCTCGTTATCTGAGAACTCAGTATGTAAACGAGATGACATCTTGCCTCCCAAGTGCCGAGTCCCACCCAAGGCATATACTTTTATGTGTCCAATTCTGAGTTGAAGTTTTTACAATAAAAATGAATTCTATTTATATAGAGAAAAATTAATATGGTCATCTACTTTTAAATAGGAATTGATACATTTATGTATTTAGACTATTGCTTTGTAACTTCTAAATGTTTGTGTGTGTGTGTGTGTGTGTGTGTGTGGTTTGAAGGGTGATACCTGCCTGTAATCCCAACATTTGGGAGTTTGGAAGCCAGACGAGGTGGCCCATGTCTGAAATGCCAGTACTTGGGAGATGGTGGCAAAAGTATCAGGAATTCAATGTCACCCTTGGGTACACAGTGAGTGCAAGGTCAGCAGGAGGCATGTGAGACCCGTCTTGAGAAACCAAACACAAAACTGAAAAGACAGAGAAAACAGACCAGGTTTGAGCTCACCATGTACTCTTCACTCTCCTCTCTGTAGTCATCCAGTTCTCTGTCTAGACGAGAGAGCTCTTTATTAACCTCGTCCAGTTCTGCCTGTAAACACTTATACTCCTGTAGTCCTGCATCAAAATTTCTCTTGTAGAGTTGTCGTTGTTGATCTGAAGTGATAGGTGGATATTCCCTGAGAATCAGAGGAGAAAATGATTACGTAAACACCCTCTGCACATATTAAAAGCCAGTGATTTCGCTCAAAGACAGCACACTGGTAAGGAATATAAATTTATATCCTCTTCTTTTCTGTTATATCCTAGGAGGCAGGTGGGATGCCATTAATTTCAACTAAGAACTATTACAGAAAACATAAGGTACTCTGCCTATAACATGTCACCTATTAACTCTAGGGACTCAGTCTGAAGTGGCTAAGTAGATATTCCCTTCCTCTCTCACCTCCAAACACATCCCTACCAAAGCCAAACACTTGTCAAAAAGGATGTCCTGTGCTCCCTTACTAAAGCCTCTGGACAAGCTCTCTGGAATGATTTTAGACCTGAAAACATAGCTCAGTGGCAGACCATTTTCCTACAGTGTACAATCAAGGTTCTGGGTTAAACAATAATAACACACACAATTATGCTTTCTATAGTACTATTCATATTACATAAATACTCCTCATATATTTACGAATAATGGCAAATGTCATGAAATTGAAAGGTTTTAATTAATGAGAATACATTGTTTCTCACTACTGATACTAACGAGTGATAAAACACTTATGTTTAAAGTCTTAAAACAATGCTGAACACAAAGCCTGTTTTGATTACCTCAGAACAGCTGGCTGGGAGTGGCTGTTTCCTGTTACCACCTACCATCTTCAGACGAGCTTATTTATTTATTTTTGGTCTTATTATTCCCAAGTGGAAAGAGCTTATCTTGTTCTTTCATTATGAAAGTATGCATTAAAAATGCACACACAGAAGCTGGAGGCGTAGCTCAGCACTAAAGTGCATGTCTCGGGTGTGTAACACCCTAGGTTCAATTTCCAGCATTAAAACACACACACATTCACACACACACCTATAAAAACAAGTTCATTGCATAAATAAACTGGCAACTCATGAAAGTATGATGAACTAATGCTAGAATTCTGAGGCCATCAAGGTAAGCGGGCAAAAGTACACGACTCCAAGCCTGAAGATCTGAGTTTGAACCACAGATTCCACATGATGTAAGGAGAGGAGTGACTCCATCAAATTGTCCTCTGACACCTCCCTCCCCCACACTTACACACAGATGCACGAAAGCATGTGTGCACACACACATACACATACGCAGTATCCCACTCCAATAAAGAAAATGAAATAAGCAATCTATGCTGGCTTATGTATGTTTTAACGTGCCAGCTATTCCCTGCATATGAAGCTGACACATCAAAATGTCCACTGGGAAAATTCTTGAAGCTATTTCACAGGACAATGAAGCTCCACAGAACATGGGACTTAAATTTTAGCTCTAATCATCAATCAATAAAATGTCTTCATTTTACAGAGAGAAAAATTGCATTTTTTGATTGAAAGGAAAACAAAAACTTGAGATTTCTCAGTATTCAGTTAAATGTTCCATTATACAAGTTAGACAAATATCTCACAGATGAGTTAACCAGGCCAAAAAAGACTCTTGTGGGTAAGGAAAACAAGGTGTAAGAATCATATGTGGGATGCCAGTGGTGATGGTGCACACCTTCAATCTAGGCCAGCCTGGTCTACAGAGCTAGTTCCAAGACAGCCAAGGCTACACAGAGAAATCCTGTCTCAGAAAAAAAAAAATCATAAGTAAGGTATGTCAAGCTCCATGCCCCACTCACATCTTCTAACAACTTGAGGAAGCAAGGTTTATAAACCACCATTCATGCTGCAAAAAATTTTGATGAGCTGGGTGGTAGTGGTATATGCCTTTAGTCCCAGCACTTAGGAGGCAGAGGCAGGGGGATCCCTCAGTTCAAGGCCATCCTGGTCTACAGAGCTTGTTCCAGGACAGCCAGGACTACACAGAGAAACCTAGTCTCAAAAAGAAAAGAAAGAAGGAAAGAAAAAAGAGAGAGAGGAAGGAAAGGAAGAAGGAAAAAAGGAAGAAAAGGTGAAAAGGGAAAGGGAAGGAAAGAAAGGAGAAATCTGGTGTGACGTGGTGCCTGGCATGACAAGGCTAGCCATCACAGCCTGTATAGCTGGTGCTGGTAGACTCAGGCCAGCCTTCAAAACAAAGACCTTAACGATAACCTTGGCTGCAGCACTAAACCATTACCTCAACTGCTGACAAAACTGCTGCCAGAGTTCTTTGGATTGAACTTTAAGAGACTCTCTGGGCTTACCATGAAAGTGGAACTTGAGGTAACTGCCACAGGAAAGTCTGTGTGCTTGGAAATTTTATAATCAGTCCAACACAATTCCCCTAAACTCATGTTTTATTTCTTAGAAAGCCTTTCTTGAGTGTCTGCTGGTAGAAGAGCCACTTCAGGGAGAAGAGTGTGAGAGACATGGTTACTTCCAAACAGAGCCTTGCACTTGTGGGTTTTTTGTTTTGTTTTGTTGTTTTCCTTTTCTTTTTTTTTTTGTTTTTTGCTTTTTGTTTTTTGTTTTTTCAAGACAGGGTTTCTCTGTATAGCCTTGGCTGTCCTGGAACTCACTCTGTAGGCCAGGCCGGCTTCGAACTCAGAAATCCACCTGCCTCTGCCTCCAAGTGCATGTGCCACCACTGCCCAGCTTGCACTTATGTTTTATAAAACGGCACCAAAGGGTACAACCCTCAAAACTGTCTTCAGGCATAGAGGGGGAAAAAAATGAGATGACAACATGACCCTAGTTTCCAAGGCAACAACCCCAAACCTGGCCTGTCACCGGGGTGATAACCAGGATGCTTAAGAGATAGGCCTTACCGGACCCAGTCCTCCTCCAGCTCGTCACAGGACTCGCCACCTGTGGTGTAGTCTGTTTCATAGTGGTCTGGGTCTGCCCTCTTCGTCTTTCCTGCTTTTCCCTTTGTGGGAGCCCTTTTCGAAGGTGTCTCTAGGTTACTATTGCTGCTGTACCGAGGCTGTCTGAAGTCATCCACAGACAAGGTCAGAGGAAGCTCCTGGGCCACTTCAGGCACCCTAGTGAAAACACAGGCCACTGCTCAGAGACAGAGTACACTTTGAGTCTGCCACCACCCTGCAACCAAAGGGCAACTTAAGAACAGTGCTAACAGATACCCCCAGTCAAGGCGCTCACCGAGGAGTTCATCTCCCACCCTGAGCACGTGCGCCATTCCTGCTTTCTGTTTGGCATCAATTCACATCCTTCTAACACACAAGCAGCTTTAAAGTTCTGACTGGGGGAGGGGGACCCATGTTTAAACTTCTAAGTAAAATGGATCTCACACTTCCTCTTAGGAAGTTCAAACTAAGCTATAAGAGGTATTTATCTGCCCTGTGCCAGAGACGTACTCAACAAAAGACTTGTCAGGAAAATGATGAGGATAATATGAGGATAATTCTTCTCTACAGGTTCTAGGTTCTTCCAGTCCCCAAGAATGCTGGTCTGTGTGTGTGTGTGTGTGTGTGTGTGTGTGTGTGTGTGTGTCTGTGTATGTGTGTGTCTGTGTGTCTGTGTGTGTATCTGTGTATGTGTATGTGCGCACGTGCATGTGTGTGTGTGTGTGTGTGTGTGTGTGTGTCTGTGTCTGTGTCTGTGTCTGTGTGTGTCTCTGTGTATGTGTATGCTCGAACGTGCATGTGTGTGTGTCTGTGTGTGTGTGTGTGTGTGTGTAAGAAGATAGGCTCTTTGCAACAGTATTTTTATGTTACCGATATAGATTATCCATTCAAGATGAAAGTTTGAAAAATTACAAATTTAAACTAAACGCTTCATGGTTTTGAGTATAAAATGCCTGTCATCCCAGCATTCAAGAGGTTAAAGCAGGAGAATCATTATGTCATCTGGGGTGGGCTACACAGAGAGACCCTTCCTAAGCACCCACCACTCAAAGGAAGGAGTTTATTAAGTGTTCTTTTAACTCCTTCTGTGTTGAACTTAAAGCCATGTAGAATCAACAAGAGGTTTACCAGAACACTTGTTATGTTTCTAATGTAATTATTTCACGTTGCATCAGACATTAAATTGCAGAGACTGTTCCTGCCAGTGAGCATGAAAACAAAACCCAACACAGCAATAAAAAGGTTGAGGCAGGCACACGCTCTTTCTGAGCAACAGAAACAGTTTTATTTTTGCTCTGTAAACAGTAAAGAATAGAAACGAACAAAAAGAAGTCGGAGACATTCTAAGTTATCAGCCTCTCTGTTCAGACCAACTGTTAAAAGTAACTGAAGCTTTCCTCCCCTGTCTGTTGCTTCTCACGTACAGAATCCAGAAGCTAAGTTTTATCTCTGGGTTTACTGTTTCCTCGTCCTCACTACTGTCAGACCTTTAGCATTCTAACCACACTTAAGCTTTGAGAGAGAGAGGGGGGGGGGGGAGAGGCAGTTTAGATTTTTTTTGGATGATTTATTTATTTATTTTATATATATATGAGTACACTACTGCTCTCTTCAGACACACCAGAAGAGGGCATTGGATCCCATTACAGATGGTTGTGAGCCACCATGTGGTTGCTGGGAATTGAACTCAGGACCTGTGGAAGAGCAGTCAGTGCTCTTAACTGATGAGCCAAAGAGATTAAATCTTAAAGAACAATGGCACTGTCAGTTCTCAGCCTTCTGACTAACAAGAGTAAGGGAGGATAGTACAAAACAATAGGCAAATATTCACATTTAGACAAATGTTAACAAATTAAGGTGCTACTTACAGAGGCGTTGACTTATAGAAAGACTCTGGGTATGATCGCTTGCCATTCACTTTACCATTGGAGGAGTAGGCCATCGGACTGTCAACTCTTTCCACATAGTCAGATGGGGGTGGAGGCATGTCCTGTGTGCCTGCAGACACATTTTTAACCTTAAAAAAAAGAAGAAGAAAAAAAATAAATCCAGGAGACACTATCATTCCTTACTCATAATTGAAAGGGGTTAAATGTTAAATTTCAAACCTGAGGAAAGAAGTGAATCTGGCCTCCAGGTTCTCCCAGCATCCCTCAGTCCCTACCTGAGGGTATGGTCCACATACCCCACCCTCCAACCTGAACTATCCATCCCCAGAGGTTCTTCCCTATGTGATCCAGACATTATGGTTACCTGCCCCTCCTTTTGTGCCTTTGGCCTCCTGTGTGATCTACTTGGCTCCCCTCTCTGCCTTCTGTTAGCATTCTGTCTAAACTCCACCTCCACAGTTACCTGGCAACAGCCAGATATGCTCCTCCCCACAGTTACCTGGCAACAGCCAGGTAGGCCTGCCCACTATAAAAGGGGCTGCTTGCCCCCTCCTCTCTCTCTTTCTCTCTTAAACTCTTGATCACTTGCCTGTAGCTTCTCTCTGCCCCCTCCCCCCTTCCCTTCCCCCTCTCTCCATGTGGTCATGGCCGGCCTCTACCTCTCTGCTCCTGTCTCCCCCTCCCCTCTTTCTCTCTCTCTCTCTCCTACCTCTACTACCCTCCTAGCCCCCCTCCCCATGCCCTGAATAAACTATTCTATGCTATACCTTCGGAGACACAACCCCTTCCCCTCATACCTCACCACACACCCACAGAACATACTCTTTATCTCTTTATCTTTTTATAAACATAACACCTTCCGTTTCTCCTCTCTGTACATGGTTTAGGATCATAGCTACTCCAGATTCTTCCAGATGTGTCTGCCACTGGCTGTGCTCTCCAATATATCTATAACAAACTTTCTCCACCACCACACCTAGGAGCAGTCATATCCTTTCCTTTCTTACTTGTTTTTCATTCAGTAAAGAATCGGGGGGGGGGAGTTATCATATATAAAATATACAATAGTTATTTAGCTCAGAATATAAAATAATGTGAAATAATTAGCTACAGTAATTTTCTTACACTCACTCCTTCCTTATCAGAAGACTCAGCTCACTTTCTGACATGGATGAGGGGAACCAAGTGCAATGCCCAACACCCATGTCAAGCAGCTCAGAACCATCTTTAACTCCAACTCCAAAGGATCGAACACTGTCTTCTGTCATCTGTAGCCTTTGCATCCATGTATGCACACTTACACACACACACACACACAAATTAATCTTTAAAAAGAATAATGGCTATCTTCTGAAGAATAGCAGGTTGCAGTCCTCCTCGCCCCCACGAATAACCAGGACCCGCCGGTCGGATCAAGTGGCACCCAGACGTGGGGCTCGAGGCACGGACCCATCCGGACGGACCCTCATTGAGAGGACGTGCGCACGACATCAAGATTGATCAAGACAGAGATCATCGCCCGTGACCTGTCGTCCACGGAACCAGGTTGATGCTGCCATCAAGAAGGCAGTTGAAGTTCATTACCATCAGCTGAAAATTGCAGAGGATCCAGAAGTGACTCCGCAGGAGACTGACACAGCTGTCAGCTCCCCTGCCTCCCCCTACGGTCGACCCCTAGACTTCCACGCCCTCCAGAAGTGTTCCTGGTATGCCTGGCTTTGCCCTCATTTCTCTCGCTAGAGAGCTTGGCCTCTTGATCACCACAACAAAAATTGGCTTTTTCCTAAACCAAGGCCACCCTTGATATGGCCGCTAACATTGGGGAGCCTTCCTTTATGACAATATTACACCCCAAACTGACAAATGGTTGGTAACTTGAACATTTACAAGAGACTAGGATGGCTGTGAGTTAGCCCAATGACGGGATTATTGTAGGTCCACTTCCCAGGGGCCCACCCAATGCAGCCGAAAAGGAGTGCGTGGTGCTGGGAGTGGGTGCAGCCTACATGGCCTAAGACAGGGCTCTCACCCTCCTTTCACCCACATCAGAGTCCCTTGACGTTGCCCATCGTCGACAGCCTAAAGCCTTCGACCATCGATGTGACTCGTCTCACATCAGTGTTTTGGGGTTGTGAACTTGTCTAAGACCCCCCATAATTAGACATCCAAATTCAAAACTCACATAGTTGGGATTGAACATAAGACGCCTTCTCTAACTAAACAGAGAAGGGGGAGATGCCAGAAGCCAGGACCTTACCCTTACCCCCTACCTTTCCCCACCTGCACAATGTCCTCTGAAGCTTGGCAACTGCAAGATCCTGCTTAGCAACTGCAGATAGACTCAAAGCAGAGTACCATGTCTTCTTAAGAATAGCAGGGAGACCATAACTCAAGCAGTGTACCATATCTTCTGAAGAACTGCAGGTAGATCATAATTCAAGGCAGTGTACCATATAGACCATGACATGTTTCAAGGCACAGGCCAAGAAGATTTTGTACTTTTCCACCACCTGGACCCTCTTACCCCCTCCCCTTGTAAAACATGCTATAAAAAAGCATTTCATGTTCAAAAAAAAAAAAAAAAAAGAAT